AATCCATTTTTTTGAGCAATTTCAGTACATTACACTTAGATTTACAAAATTGCAGTTATGAAAGTAAAACCGAATCGACCCGATACCCGATCCGAACCCGTCCTACCCGAAATTCAAAAAAACCCGAAAATATACAAGTAAAAAAAGCTAGGGTAGGGTATCCATATTACACAACCGAAACCCGAAAGGGTCTTGGTTTTACCCACCCGCCCGACCCAAATCCGTCCGATGCTCACCCCTATCCAACTGCATGTCCTGTTATTTCACGACGTAGTAACTAGTAACCCCTAATCCCAAGAATAGACGGGGAGCTATGTTGCATTACAATCCAAGATGGAATTGAAAGAAATTTAAGGCAATCAAGGGTCAGTTTGGAGCATTGGAGGGGACTGGGGAAGGCTTTGGATGGTTTAGTCACTATCGTGATGTATAAAAAATTTCAAAAAAAAAAGTGAAAATATTACATAAAAATGTCAGATGATCACATATTATGGTAAAACTTTGATTTCAATAAAATGCCAAATATATATCAAGATAGGACCAAGTTTTCCAAACCCATCCATCCAAACATACCCTAAGGAGTTTAGATCTCAGCAAAAATCCACTAGGTTTTCCCTATTTTTATTAAGTAACAAGTCACTCATTGTTTACTCTGGATTCTGGAACCCTTAAACCCCTGCTCTTCGTTTATCAGTCATCGTCTTCAACCACTACTAACTATTTTCGAAAGCTCATCATCATCTTCCATATTCCCCTGCACACATTCTTTTTCAAGCACTCATACTCCACTTTTTTTATAGTACACACCCATTATCTTCCAAACAAATTTACCCACTCAATATTCAATGACTGACCAAATCATTGCTTAAGCATAATGTGCATGTTGATTTTACAATGTCAATTTGTAATGTGATTCATAACAACATTAATCACAAATATTTTTGGTTGATGATATAGATTTTAGTGTCAATTAATATTCTGAAATTACTAACCCAAATAGTAACCTAAATTATACTCCTCTTCCTCCAAGGAATGCCCAAATAAAATTTTAAAGAAACTTATCATCAATTCTTTAGCTTGTACTATCTAGAAAGGAGGATTTAATATCGCACAATGAGCTCAAGAGACGAGTACACCTGACTCCAATGATTCATCATCAAATGATTTGAAGTCCCTATGTAACACGTTTTATTATGAACAGTTCCAGGTCCTTCATAGTCTATCGTAAACACAAATTCATTACCAAGAAGCTTTATTGTCTCTTCTGGACAGATTTAGGACTGAAGGATTCCTACAATCTTACATAAAGAATTCTTAACAGATACAACAATACAAATTCATGTTAAAAATGATTTAAAGGTGTAGATGTAAGACATGAACCCAATGCCGTATCAAGATGGGAAAAAAATCATTTCCATCCTTTCCTAAAAGTCTCTTACCCCAAAGTACTACTTCAGCATATGCTTAACTCTTTATTTCAAAAGATAAAGCCGAAATCCTAATGAACAATGCAACCCACATTTGCAAATCAATTTGTCCTCCTAATTGGGAGTCACATTTTTGTAGGGAGTAATATTTTTTAAAAGTATTTAAAGGAAAAGTGTGATATCATATCAATGTTAAGAAAACGTCAAAACATGAATCTATGAAAAATATGTAACAAAAGTAGTGAATTTGTGATATACATCAGATCATTATACTTGCTGAACTTATAAGAATAGTTTCTGAATATATATCTAAAGTATATCGGATGATTATTTGAGCTGAAGTGTCTCACTTAAATGAAATATTGTCAGTTTCACAAATATGAACAAAGTACAACTGGCGTCACCCATGACATATAATGATTCATTGGGGTATTAATAAATAACTAAATACATAAATGCATTGAATATTTCTCCAGAATTACAAAAGTCTAATATTTTTAATATATTAGAGAAATTCAAAATGAGCAGTAGAATACCAATAATTAGAAACATGAGAAATATTGTTCCTTCGCCACAGGGCCGGCCCAGGGGGTGTGTAGGGTGTCCGACCGCACAGGGCCCAAAAATATGGAAGGCCCAAAAAAATAAATTAGTAGTAGTATTACTACTAGTCTACTACTCAGTATAAGCTAGTCAACCCAATAGCGAACGAAAATGTGCGGGACAAGCATAGCAATCTGCGAAAGAGGAAGCGCATAGGCCAAAGGGCATAACGAGTGACTGAGCGAGACGAGCGACGTGTCAACGACTCTCTGTCTCTAGGCTCTGCTCCAGCCATCCTGAAATCTAAGTTGTTGCGGCGATTCGGCCTTCGGACGGCAGCGGTATTCACTTCTTCCCATCGGCAATGGACATCCACTCATCTAGGATGGAGGGACTCTAGTACTCCACTATTCTAGGTAAATTCGTAACTAATAGAGAGTAATTGTTCTTTATGAATTAATATTGTAATCTGAGTTCAACAAAGTGATATTAATAGGTTCTTAGGTTGTTAAATTTGTTTTTGTTTCACTGTATAACTTTATACGTAAATAATTTTTTTCTTGGATTTATTACTGTTAGTTAAAACTAGCAACTTCTATTTTGAAATAATTCTTTAATAAATTACTACTACTCCGTATTAACAATTTACCATTTCAATTGAAATAGCATTTCTATTAACGATTGAAAAGAAAGGCCTGATTTTTGTTGTTGCACAGGGCCCTCGTTTTCTCGGGACCGGCCCTGCTTCGCCATACTTTTAATTATAAAGAATTACTGAATATATAAACATCAAAAGAATACTTTTATTTATATTCAATATTCTTTAATATAACTTCAAAAAAGTACAATGATATATGAAGTTTTTGATAGAATGATTCCCCGGAATATAAACAGACACAAATCCCTCTGTCAATCCTAGTTGGTTAAATACGGTACGGGAATTAAACGGTGTACAATACGGTTGTGTTTTATTCGGTGGCATGGACGAAAAATACGGTCAAAAAAACGTTAAAAAAACGTTGACTTTTAAAAAACGTTTAAATACGCATACGTGTTTTATACGATTTTTCTTTGAAAAATTCGGACTAAAAATACGGGTATTGTTTTAATCATTAAAACATACTATTATTTAGATTATAAAATACATATAATGAATACCTAAAAGAAAAACAAATCAAACACATTTTTGAATAGAAAATTTAACTAAACACGCATTCAACCATATTTAACAAACTAAATCATATTACTCCATAAAACGATTCACAATATAACTGATAGACAAGTCCATGACAAGAAAACAAAGAGGAATTAAGTCCAACATAGCACATCATAAATATGAATTAAGTTCAGACAAAAATTATGTCTAACAATGTAGCACATCATAACAAAAAATAACTAGATAATTATGTCTAACATGACAAATTAACTCTTTCCAAATAACTAGATACTAGAGGCAAAGTATCGACAATTTCATTTAGCAGTTTAATACATACATTATATCTTTTTAACAATAATTTAATTATAATAATAATGGAATAATTACTCCGTAATTGGTATTTATGAATAAAACCGTATACTATTCAGCTAATCAGCTCTAGAGTCTAGATTTTTTTGACATTACATATGATTAAACAACTAATAAACTAATTATGTAAATTCTTTAAACCGAAAAGCCTGGTTTTGGAGCAGAGGCGATTGAAAATTTGGAGTAGAACACTAGAACTAACTTTTCAAAATTTGAGTAGAACTAACTTCAAAATTACTCTTTATAATAGTTATTGAATCATAATTTGGAATTAACACAAAAATTAGTAATCAACAATTTAACACAAGTCTAATATTATACTTGATTCCAAACTCTTAACTCCAATCGTTAATTTTCAACACAATTCTAGAAATTCCTATTGTTCTATAGCAAATCATAGCTTAGTACATGTACGTCTAAAAATTCAAGTAAATAAAATCTAAATATGAGGAATTACACAAACGATTTGGGAGTTGCTGTCGTCCAGGTTTTCGGCCGAAGAGCTGAAATGGAGTAATCTTATCGCTTTGAAAACTTTTCAAATTTTAAACTTTAGGAACCTTTTGAAAAGATTTAGAATCAATAATAAAAACTAAAAAGTAAAATCTGTTCGTTTTCCACCTTTAAAACAGCCGCCGATGACTGCACTTTACTAGGACAATATTTAATATCTACTGTTTAGTAATTGGTAAACTCACCCATTTAATTATACGTACGTTTTTTTGTGAAATTCGTTTAAGTGCCGTTTTTTTACGTTTAAAACGGCTCAGCCTACTTTTTTGTTTAAAACGAGTATTTTTTCCAAAAGAACGGAAACGTGTATAGAACGCCTATAAAACGCGAATATGCTAACTAGGCTGTCAATATCTATTTTAAAAAAAGAAGCATGAAAAGCCACTTATAAGTTGGGGCTTTTGTGGATTTTGGATATTGTTAAATGCAAATATTGCACTTTGAGATTGTATATTTGTATAGTGCTTGATAAAGTTTGAAAGTGGACTGAGTCTTGAAAACATGTCAAAGAACTGTATTAGTGAAATGTATTGAATTCGGTTCCCTCCTTGTGAGTCACTGTTTTGTAGTAATTTTAAAAATGTAGGTAAGAGAAATGTGATGACAGTGTTCAAAAAAAAAAAATGAAAACATGAATCTATAAAAAATAACAAAAGTTGTGATCTAATTCCGGTTTATTACATTTGCTAAAATTATAAAAAATAGTTTCAAAGTATATATCTAAATCTTTGTGATAAATATTTGAGCTGGAACTATTTGTTTGATCAACATTTTTAATGACTAAAATAGTTTCAACAAAGCACAAATAAAAGCGAGAATACAAAACCTTGCAATAGCACTTAGGGTCGAAGCGCTAAGGTCAGTCCAATTATCTCTATTTATGATGGTATTGGCTTTAGCATAATTCATGCACCAGTTTAGAGTGTAAGAGAATAATAATAAAGAAAGGTGTTACTCAACCAGAAATTTGAAATTAAAAACATAATGCATACCTTACCTCTTTGGTTGCAGCCAATTCAGACCATTTATTTATTAAACCGACCTCACTTGCATCACTTTGAGATGGTAAAATTCTCGATAAAATTTGGCTATTGACAGACGACCCATTTAAGCTTGGAAACCTTTCAAAAACTGCATTAATAAATTGTACATGTCATTAGATATACTAACCTAGGGGAGCAGTACAATATGTGAATCATTTTATAGTCAGTAAACTTTAAAAATATTTCATATTTGTTGCATATATACATTAGGCATCCATTTCAGCACTTTTAAATCAACATGTAAAAATATTACCCTCGCACAGAAGTCTTTGATCTCTAGGATATGCTCGTCAATTAACAACCTCATTGCTAAAATGAATTTGAAATGCCCTTCAATTCACCTGAAAATTCAATTACAAATGTTTTAGTACTAAAATTTAATAAAACCACACAATACAAAACACATTTTAATGAGATCAAGCACTTTATCACCTGAAAACCGTTCATAACTAATAGTGAGATACTGAGATGGGGGTTTTATTCTGTGAAATAATTTGTTCTTAATTAGAACCAGTCCACCGAGAGTACTTTGGGTTTCTCTTACAAAATTAAGTCCAGAGAAAGTTTATGAAGTGAGGACAAATACTCCACCAACATTCTGCCGGGAGTTAAAAAAATAAAAAGTGACTGGTGGTGTGTTATGTTAATGTACATTAATTTGTATGAATATGTATCTCTATGGCACTATTAGATTCATGAAAGAATGAAAGATGTAATCATAGAAAATTTATGGTGCTTCAAATTATTAATGCTTTTAGCTAGAAGTGAATGAAATGTCAAGCCTCTATGCAGAAGAACCATGCATTTCAACTTACACTTTTCAACTTCTAAAACCACCTTATTCATGAAACATGGTGAGCATACTTCAGAAAAGAACCAATTAGGATGAGAAAATTCAGCAAAAAGGGAAAGAAAATCAGAAGATTGAAACAAAATATATGGCAAATAATTAGCAGATTAGAAATGAGAATAAGAGCCGCAAGAAACCAGATTTCATATCACATAGTCGTCTGGCCTGAACTAAAAAAAATCCCAGTGTGGCAAAAAGACGAATAATGAAATGGAAAGAGTAATGAAGCTTAATGAAAATGGAAAGAATAATTGGAAATTGGAAAACGAAAGAGGATGAAAATACCAGTCTTATAAGCTATAATCGTGAATGCTATATAGGAAGAAAGTGAAATTAACGAATGAGACATCTCTGGACGTTTTGAACTGCTACGGTTTCCGAGGGAGAGTAGTGAGACATGGTCTGAGGGGGTGCTTCTTCTGCTCGATACACCCCTGAAATCAAAAGGCCTGAGAGAAAGGAGAAAATATGAGCATCGGCAAAGAGGATACTTGAGATGCAGAGACTTGTGAAGATGAGACACTTGACCTTGAAACGTAGTTGGTCAAAAAAATAGGATGACAGGGCAATCCCGCCCCAAAAACACGAGAACAATTTTAAGGACAATATTTCACAATTTGACAATTGTTTTATCTTTTTCCTTTTTAATTCAATTTTAAAAAAATATATATATCAATTTTTTTTTCTTTTTTATGATCTTTTCATATGATACTAATATTGCATATAAAAATTTAAAAAAAAAAAATCAATTAAAAATAGATATTTTAGAAATAAATGTTTTTTTCAAATTTTTATATGTACAAAATTGAAATCAGTGAAAAGATCATAAAAAACTAAAAAATTTGATATTTTTTTTAATAAAAAGTAGACTATAAATAGAAAAGCTATACTCCGTAACATTTTAAGGAAAAAATGGGATGAAATGCCACATGTCAACCATAGAGCAAAGGGGGTGAACATCACCCTCCTTAGTGAGGGTGTACAAAACTGCACTCGACGGAGGGAGTACTTCGTAAGTATTATATTGACATCATTGATTCATTGTTATAAAAGTCGCTCTAAGCACCCGTGTAGGCGTTGTGACTAAGGCGGTTTAGTCTAGGCATCTCGAATAACTAACTTGACATTTTGATGAATTAGTCGGCCGTCTAAGACGTCTAGATTCACATAACATTTTTTTGTTATTTTATTTTATTTTATTGAAAGATATGAACTTTTAACTTTAATCATGAATGTAAAGAAAGCTACTTGTAAATTAAGATAAAAACTATATGTGTTTGTATATATTCTTAAAATTTATTATTATGTAATACTTTTCTTGATACATCGGAAAGGATTATTTAATAATTACGTAGTAATATATATATTATAGTTATAATATATTAATAAATATAAAAATTTTATTATTCATGTATGTTAATGTGTGTGTAAATATATGTACATAGACAGAAACACAATATTACTTATTATATTTATGTAAAACATATTAATACAAATATAATTCTCGTGTCTCTGACTAGTCCTTGTCTAAGTGCTAGGCGCTGAGCTAGTGCCCGACTACCACCTAGAACCTTTTAATACAATGATTGACATGAACCTATTAATTAGATTTAGTTGAATATGTAGTCCTCCATATAATTTAACAACAAATCTTCTACGGCTCACCCCAATGTATTTGATTTTTGAACTGAAAATATAACAAACAATGACTATAATTTAAACATCAAGTGCTTTTTCAAAAATAATAATAACCAAATTTTCAAATGTATTGAGACGGTTTGGTATGATGTAATGCAATGCAATGCAATGGAATGAAGTGCGTAATGCAATACAAAATGTAATGTAATGAAATGAAGTCTTTATTCTATTACTATGTTTGGTTACTTAAGTAACGGCAATTTTGAATTGTAATCAACATTATATAATTATGTTTGTTTATCTATGTGTGTGCAGTGTGCAGTGTGTGTGTGTGCAGTCTGTGTGTGTGCGCGCATTGTGTGTGTGGTGTGCAGTGTGCAGTGTGTGCGGTGTGTGTGTAGTGTGCAGTGTGTAGTGTGCAATGTGTCTGTGTGTGTTGAGACAAATTTAAAAAAAACAATTGTGCCCGGCCCGGTTTCGGTGCCCGGCCCGGTTTCAGTACAAACCCGGGTCAGTATCGGGCCTGCAACCCAAACTTTTAGTCCCGCCCAAACCCGTCCACATGTGCCGGTATCGGGCCTGTAATCTCAAATACACATCTTGTTTAATGTAATGCATTACGCATATCAAAGTAATGAGTTCCACATGTGCTATGACCATTACATTACGGTTTAAAATAAAATGGCATACCAAACATCGTAATCAAATCAACATGTAATGCTCATTACATTACATGATCGATTACGTCATACCAAACATGGCCTAAAAAAGAAAGACATTTTTATACGGTGTTTTAAGAACTTCAAAACGGCTTGCACTTCAATAAAAGTTGTCTACATATTCTCTTTGTAGTTGTAAAGGAATAAAAGGTAACGTAGTTCCTTTTTAGAATTATACAAATCATACAATTGCTAACATTAAAAGCATAAAAGTAAGCAACTTCTATAAGTCGTCACTATCATTTGCCTCTACTGGTGGTGGTTTCTTCCATGAAGTGCATTGTTGGTGCTATATTTCTTTCTTGTATATGATATTTGATGATAACCAATCATGGCAATAGACAAGTATTTGAATCTACAATATCATTGATCTTTTGAAGAAAAGTAAATTTACTTCTGACGTTGCACAAAGCTCGATTAACGAGCTTTCTTTATATCTAACGTTATTATGATAAAGGAAAAGGTTTGACAATCTCCATTGATGAGGACCGTTTGAAGAGATGTTCCTCATTTGATCAAAAGTGACGAAACAAGTGTTGTCAATGTTGGTTTCAACGATTGCCGTGGAACAAGAGTTTAGCAAAGCTGACAACGTCATAACTGATAATAAAACGAGGTTGAGCGTGCATTCTCTTCAGATGCTCATTTGCTTCCACGATTGGTTTTGGTTGAAGGCTCAATGTAGAGCTCAAGAAGTTAGCATAACACCGGACCTCCACTTAGTGGAGAAAGCGACAACCGATGCTGGCGGGAGTTCCATCGTTAGGAAATGTATTTAAACTATTCTCAATTGTACTCTACGTCAATTTAGTGCTTAAAATAAATCTGCCTTTCATTTTTAATGTGTACCATTTGTTATTTATATTACTAAATTTAAAAAAAAAAAAAAAAACTTAGAAACGCCCAAACCGACCCGGAACCAGACCCGAGACCAAACCGGACTTCACCTTCCACGGACCAGGACCGGCCAACCCCTAGCCATATCAGGAGGACTTGAAGCATGGAAACAAATGTACATTAAACGTTGTAAACAATTTTGCATCTAAATACGGAAGAGTGTTTCTTTTTATGTCAATTCTTGAATGTATTTTTTAATGATCGTTTTTATTATGACAAAGATTTGAATAGTATATTATTGCAACATATTTCAGATTTATCCTAATTAGAGATGCGAAAAAAAATACGGAGTATTTAACAACACTCACTTTTTGTTGGATAGACCTTGTACCAGTAATCTGACCTACATGTGGCACCGGTAATACAATGTTGTCATAGAATTAATAAAATTGGGACTTCATAAATAATTGTAAATATTGTGCGAGGTACAAAATTTTAACTCGCAAAAATGTTCCGTATAAAGGACAGCAAGTGTGAGTTGGGAGCTCACTAAGCTATAATTGTTGTACAAAAGGAAAAAGAAAGCCAAATAGAACATAATAACAAAATGAAGTGAAGAGGACAGACACACATTATGAGCTCTTGAGTAGAGTCTGGATGGATTCGAAGAAAAGCGGAGACATTTCAGGGTTAGGAGTCTTGGTTGCACACTTGACACCGGGATTCCCAACAGTTGTTGTGAGCTCAATCAAGAACGGGATTTCTCGGGGGATCTTTGCTGAAAGATACAACACGTCTTGGTTGCCATTCTTCCGCCTCGCAATGAAAAACACATTGGATGCCGCTAATCCGTCTAGAGTAGCTTCCACGCTCTTTACAACCACTTCTGGGAAGTCAACTGATCTCTCATTTGAATCAGGCAATGATTTCCACTTCTGCAAAACAGACAGGAAGAAGATCTATAAGCCTTCCTGATTATCATTAACCAGTTGTGCCAAGGACAAAGCACACATGTTATGCATGCACAGAAACTTAAACGAAATGTGAATAGTTGCTGAAAAAATCGTTGATACCAAATAAATTGGACATTTATTAGATACGGGTAAGTGGTATTAAAAATACAATCCTTCATAAGATAAAAGTGAACTCTTTGTATGAAAATGTGAGGAAGTGAAGAGTTTACATTGTATGGTTTGGTTAATGACAATTTTTTAAAACATTTTGCAACTGTACCCTAGTGAAACATTTTACTTGGGAGTGTTTAAAATACTTTACATGGTTAATATAGCTTTGCGTGTAAATTAAGAATAAATTACTCACCTCATGAAATTGTGTATCATATTTTAAATGTGAAATGATCGCCTGTATACATTTTACATATGACATTTTAAATGCAAATTTTAGTATGCCAAGTACTAGACACCCCCAACAATCAAATATAAAAAGCTGTGCTCCAAAAGTTGTAAATTGAATGATGTGATGTCTCGGTTAAAAACCATGAGCTGATAGTTGACTTATCAAAATTTCTATGAACATATTTCACTTAACATAAACAAGTCGCACATACACCCTAGTACATGCTCCTCAACAATGAGGACATCCCCCAAGAGCAGGAGATTTCGTGACATTTTTATTGGCTGTCTTTTATTTCTAACTAATAAGTTGTTTAATAGTTGGCATCTTGAATCTACTACCTCCGTCCCTAAAAATTCTTCCCGGTTTGAATTGGCACGCTTATTAAGAAAGTGGAATAAAGTGGAAATGTGTGGTTGTGGTTGTGTAAGAAAAAGGTAAAATGAATGTGAGCCACACAAATTGTCCAAAAAGGGAAAGTGGGAAGAATTTTTGGGAACGGCCCAAAATGGGAACGGAGGGAGTATTATATTATATAATGGGCTGGTTTAGATTAATCCCGGACCGACCGATGCTGAATTCCCACATGATGCACGATTATAGATTTCTTGTAACATTTGGTCCTTCCAATCACTTATCTGGCCAACTTTCAACTTTCAGTTGATTTTTTGCCAAATGAGTTATCAGGACTGAAAGTGCTAAAAAGTCTAGATGCACTAAAAATGAAAAAAAATGGAGTTTTGTGAATGAAACTGAAAATGGCTTAAAAGTGAAGGGACCAAGAATGGAATAGAGTCTAGTTTATATCATTATTACTCCATATGTCCTATAGTTCTTTCCACAATGACTTCGTACGCTTTACTATAAAATGGAATTGTATGGTTGAGATTTATTTTGTAGAAATGAAAGAAACAATACCAATCACACAACTCTTATTGAAAGAAAAACAGGATGAAAATTATGGGACAGAGGAAGTATCTCAACTTGTAAATGTTATTAATCATACTATCATGTTTCATATATCTGGTGTTTTAGAATTCTCACTTGAAAGATAAAACAAATAACAAGGCATAATTATTGCATACTATGAACTCATCTTGTACGAATTACAAGACAAGCCACATGTAAGAAAACTAATGCATTGAGATCTGACAAACTTTTTACCTCGAGAAAAGTAGAACGCTCC